TTCATGAAAAGTGCATTTGTATGTCTTGTATAAATATGATCATTCATAAACGAACGTATTAATACGTTGGTCTATAATGAGGTGAACCAACCGATGAACATGACCAAAATCCATTCCAAATTGGATTTGTTTTATGAATGAAGATGCTATAATTTGCATATCATATAGACGTATGAATAAATAGCATACAAATGCTTTAAAATGGCGGAATGATTGCGAAATGTGTTATATATTAAAAGGTTGTGGCCACAACTGATGCCAATCATTTCTGTTGTTGTTATAATATATTATTGCTACATTAAGTGTAGTCAATAATCTGATTTGCAATAGAATGTCGAGACGTATTAGTCTACGACATAAGGAAGTTCGCATTGAACTATCAGGACAATAAAATGAGTTTTGGGATATTTAAAATATATCCATGCATTGCACTATAATAACTATCCTACGGGTATTGAAGGGTATAGTGATGCAAATTGAATCACCGGATAAACCTAAACTAAATCCACAAGCGGATATATTTTTACAATCAGTGGAGGAGCAGTGTCTTGGAAATCGTACAACCAAACGTGCATTGCCGCTCTACAATGAAGGCTGAGTTTATAGCCTTAGACAAGGCCGGTGAAGAAGCTGGATGGCTCCGAAATTTCTTGAAGAAATTCTTTCGTAGCCTAAAATATTGGCACCTATATGCATACACTGCAATGGTCAAGCGGCAATAGGAAGGGCTGGGAGCATTATGTATAACGGAAAATCTTGTCATATACGACGGCGACATAAAACCGTTAGGCAACTACTCTCTAGGGGAATTATCATAATTGACTATGTAAAGTCAAGCGATAATGTGTCGGATCCACTTATAAAAGGCCTAACTGGAGAGGTAGTTGAAAGATCATCGAGGAGAATGTGACTATGGCCGAGGACAAGTCATTGTGGTGGTAACTCTTCCTAGAAGACTGAAGATCCCAAGATCTAGGTTCAAGGAGCTCAAACAAAGTCACTAATGACGGTTCAACATTGTCAAATAAAATTTCTTTTTGGTCCATTATCGTGATGAGACAATGTTCAGTACCAAGGATAAAGAGCTAAGACTTATTAATGGTTTCTAAGTTTGATACAGGGTATATCAAATAGTGTATCTACGGGATAACACGTTTAGGAATCACCTATGTAAGTGTGAAGTGTAAGCCGCTTCAAGGAGAATTCTGCAAGGCAGTTCTCTACGCACTTATGAACCAGGTGGTGTTCATGGCTGAAACGAACACAACAATGAGAACCAAAGACAGTTAAGGGTTGATTGTGTGACTTATGGTTGTCTAGGTATACACCAAAGCTCGACGGTTCAAAGATATCAATTCTACCGATTGACCGAGTATATCCGACATAAGTTCACTACGGAAAGTTCAAAGGGAAACATACTTATCCAGATGCGATTAATCCTTACTTGTGAATCACACAGTATTTTCATGCATGTTTTTCCACATATATCCATTCCCCATTCATGTAGGGGATTGTTGCGTTTTTCTTTAAAGAATGTGAATGGAAATGGAAGAGGCACCTTTTGAATTGCACCTCTTCATCTCACCCTTCCTTTGTCTATAAATTTAGAGGCTTGGCCTCATTTTTCAGACATGGAAAATCTGAAAATTTCTCCCCTCTATTCTATATATTGTTGCATTATTTTCAAATAAACATAAGTGTCAAGTGTGATTTGCTCCGTCTGTTGAGTTCACTGAAATTCTGTAATTTCGATTGCCAGTATTACAGAATAGTTATTCCGTTCTATCCTGGGAGGAATTAATCCAAAACCTTGGGCAACAGTGAGGGGATTAAATTCCTTAAGGACACACAAGCAACTTGTGGGCTCGGAATTATTTTTTCTGTTTTGTTTGTTAAACTAATGTTTCTCTGCTTCTCTGATTTTCTGATTTCAAACACAGATTACCGACATATTCGTCACGATCCGGAATTCTAATCTCGGGGTCGTGATGGCGCCTAACATCCACTTGCTATGCAAGCCGATGTGAGATAGTAAATTAGTCAAATTTTTAACAGTTTAAAACAAAGTGATGATAAATAATGAGGGATGGGTTCTCAAACTAATTCAACACCAGCATAAGTCATGTAATAACATCTACTCCCAAAGATCCGGAGTCACGAGTACACGAGCTATTAGAAGTTCTACAATAGAGTCTGAAATAAATACAATTATTTCGAATGAAATGAACAGTAAAAGAGGAAAGAGAAAGGGGACTTCAAGGTCTGCGGACATCAGCAGATCTACCTCAAGTCTCCGAATGTGATAATCCGAGCTAGTGCACATCTATAAGCTATGAGTTCGAGTCATAGAAGCAGCCATTAAAACTTGCATTATAGTAGAATATCCATATTACACCCGTTGGTTGCGGCCCTTTCCCAAATCATACGTAAAAATGAGATGCTTTGTGTACCGTGTTGCCAACAATATCAAGGACCGCACATGCTATTTTTATTTAAGTTGATGATGGCAGGAGAAATGTCGAAGAGGACCGCTGAAGTGAAGATTTTCGTTGCCGTCATGTTACTTTTCCACATAGAAAATAAATAAAAGCACTTCTACTACAAGTTACCACAACCATATTTATATTTTCTAAAAACCGTTATCTTAACATCATAAGAAAAAGTTTATAGTAGTAAAAGTTTGCTAACCATTGAGCTCAGTTTTGTAAGGGTCAAATTCTGACCCATACAAAGAGGTGCTATTAGAAGCAGTTTAGCCGAGGTCGACCAATGACTGATAGATTCACCGCTGAGCAGTTAATTATGGCTGAGGTCAGATGCCAAGAGTAATAGTAACGGCTAGTTTGTAATAGGATATTTGGGAGAATATTTCATTGAATATTCTCTGTACTTGTACTTTTAGGTCTGATTAGGAGCATGTCCCATATAAATAGAAAGAGAGAGAAGGCGAAAGGCATGTATTATTGATTTTGATAAGAACTCTCTTGAAAAGTTGACTCTCTGGATAAATACAAACACTACATTTCTAAAGAGATTCGATTTGTTGTTGATTCCATACTTTTCACATCAGATCCGAGAAAGTCTCCAATATTCTTGTAGTTGTTTGTTATACATCATTGTCAAAAGGAAGAATCATCCACCATTCAGTATTGGGTGAATCATTCTCCTTATTTACATTTAGTGCCATTTATTGTTATTTAATGTTTGTTATTCTCATCCCGTTATTGACCTTGAACATATAATACATATTACATTAAATTTGTTCCAACATTGTCCTACACAACCCCCATAGGCCGATTTTAGATCTGAAGTTATTATTTTTAACTAAAATTAATCCCTTATCTTTTTAATTGATTAGTTTAACCAAAGGTTCATATTTTTTGGTCAAAAAATTTGACGTCGTCTGTGGGGAATTTCTAGTTAAAATTTTAGTTTCTTCTAGATCTATAACCAACAAAAAAAAACACAAAACCCTACGCTTTCTAACATGGTAGGTAACAGAGAAGAAAGGAGGAAGGCAGTAGCCGACCTCACCGCCAACCTCCTTAACACTATCAACGAGGTCTCTGAAACGGAGGGTGAGGACATAACACCAAATGCCTCTCCCAGGCAAAATGGCTCAACCCCCTATGGCAATATTACAACGTCCCACGGTAAAGGAGCTTCTACATCCACAACGGAAGAGGCGCCACCAGCGGTGAAAACATTGCTCGAAGCTTGGCTGACGGATACGTTGAATAGCTTCCTTGACAAACCCACTCAAATGGTGATCGGAAAGGGTGCAAGGACCTGCGTGCCACCAACAGCAGTCGAACAACATGACCCTCCTCTGCTCGCAGCAGGTATCACTCACAATGCTAATGATGCAGGTAATGACGCCCTCACAGCTATCTTAAGGAGAATGGAAGAGATGGAAAATGAAAAAAAATGCTCCGAGACCAAATGAAATAGCATCAAGAAAGGGTGGAAAAAATACCAGGTGCCCCAAAACTCTTACCAAAAAGCGACGCCGGCCGGTTCGTCGAGCAGCCACACAGTGATGAAGCCGCACCACATGCCATACCTAAAACCTTCAAAATGCTTCCGTATCTGAAAATATACGACGGTACGATGGACCCTGAGGATCATGTGACTCACTTTGTCAGTGCAGTAAAAGGAAACGACCTTACCAAAGAGCAAGTATCCTCCATAATATTGAAAAAGTTTGGCGAAACCCTTGCCGGGGGTGCATTAACTTGGTATTCACAGCTGCCCGCGCGCTCCATTGAGACATTCGAAGAGATGGCCGACAAGTTTGTGACGGCCCACGCCGGAGCTAAGAAATTAGAGGCGAGAAAGAACGATATATTCGCCATCGAACAGTCACCAGATGAAGGGATGAGGGACTTCCTCGCTCGTTTCAATCGTGTAAGGATGACCTTACCTAACGTGTCAAAAGGAATGGCTGTAGCAGCTTTCCAGAACGGGTTGAACAGAAGCGGTTCGAGGGCAACCAGAAAGTTGTTGAGTCGACTCGTGAAATATCCCCTGACCACTTGGGACGAAATACATAATTCTTATTGTGCCGAAGTCCGAGCCGACGAAGATGACCTAAATGGGCCAACCCAACGGCTGAACTCAGTACAAGCTGAACCCAGGAAATAGCGGAGAAGCGACAATAGAAGAGATCATGCAGGTCCACGACCCAACCAAGAAAGGCATCAGCCGTATGTCAGAGGTGCCGTAATGTCGCCTCCCCACCACGATGAAGGCCGATCCAGTCTAAGAACAGGGACTCACCGAAGCGAGAGAGGTATGTCTGCTTTACTATTTGCTCACAATTTCGGTGTTTCACCCTCAGAATAGTCTACGCGCTGGAGAAGCTCGGTCCACAAGTGAAGAGGCCGCAGAAGATGAGGTCCGACCCAAATACCAGGAAGTCGAACGCGCTCTGCGAATTCCACCAAGAACGAGGTCATAAAACTAAGGACTGCATCGCCCTAAGGTAGGAGGTCGTGAACATGATTCACCAAGGGCACTTAAATGAACTGTTAAGCGATCGAAGAAGGTCCAACTTTGCTCAAGGACGCGAACAGCATCCGGGCCCACCAAAACCACCTTCTCCAACTCGAAACTTTCAAATAATTATTGGAGGGGGCGATGGCGCATTGATCAACAGCGCAAAGTTCACAACCACCCACAAGCTCAAATGGTCGATCACTCACGAACGGTACGATGAACTTGGAGAAAGTATCATCTTCGATACGTCGGATACCCACAATTTGGTTTTTCCTCACTATGATGCTCTGGTTATCGCTTTACACATATTAGATACAGATGTGAAACGTATTATGGTGGATGATGGGAGTTTTGCATTATCCACCCTCGAGTACTTACAAAGATGAAACTTGAGGACAAGATAGTGCCTTGCTGCATCACACTAACCAGTTTTAACAATGCAGTTGAACGGACATCTGGAGAAATCATACTCCCCATCCTAGCCGACGTCGTCACGCTGGACACCACATTCCACATCATGGATCAGGACACAACATACAACGCCATAATAGGTCGGACTTGGATACATGCCATGAAGGCCATCCCCTCCAACTTGTACCAAGTCATCGAATTTCCCACCCTATGGGGAGTATAAAGCATCCGAGGAGAACAACGTACTTCCCGAGAATGCTATCGCATCGCCCAGGATTGTACATACACCCAACAAATGAAGGGCAAAGCCAAAGAAGTATAGCAATCAACAGGGTCGAGGTCGAACGGTAATGAAAGGAAGGACATAATCAAAGACCCCGAAATCATAGAAGCCACGGGATCAACTGTAGAAGACCTCAACTCCGTCCAACTTGATGATGACGACCACAGCAAGAAAGCCTACATCAGCCATAAGCTTCAGGAACCGAGTAAATTCCGTCATTTCTTAACTAATAATGCAGACTTGATTGCCTTTTCCCATGCAGACATGCGGGGTAACCCAAAGGAGATAGCAATGCACAAGCTGAACGTCGATCCATTTTACCCCCCCCCCCCCGGTAAGACAAATTAGCGGAAGTTCAATTCTGCAATAAACGATACAGTCCACAAGGAGGTAGAAAAGCTGCTGGAAAACGGCTCCATCAGGGAGTAAAAATACCCCCAATGGGTCGCCAACGTGGTCAAGGTGAAAAAGAAGAACGAAAAATGGCAGATGTGCGTGGACTTCACATAATTGAACAAAGCCTGCCCAAAAGATTCATTTCCGCTACCCCATATTAACATGCTCATTGACACAATGGCCGGGCACGAGCTGCTAAGCTTCTTAAACGCATACTCGGGCTATAACCAGATCCTCATGGAAGAGGAGGACCAGGAGAAGACCACCTTCATCACCCACCAGGGAACGTATTGTTATAAGGTGATGCCTTTCGGACTGAAAAACGCAGGGGCAACATATCAGAGGTTGGTGATAAAAATGTTCAAAGACCAACTAGGTAAAACCATGGAGGTCTACATAGATGATATGTTGGTCAAGCCAAAAAGGAAAGAGGATCACATCGACCATCTGAAAAAAAGTCTTCGATATACATAGGCAAAACGAAATGAAATGGAACCCTAAAAAGTGCGCATTCGGCGTGACCTAGGGGAAATTCCTAGGCTTCCTGGTATCACAACGATGAATCGAGGTCAACCCTGACCAAATCAAAACTATAGAAGGTATACAGGAGAACTTAACTAATTAGAAACAGGTTCAATGATTGACCGGTCACATAGCCACCCTGTCAAGATTTATCTCACGGTCCTCCGACAGATGCCACAAGTTCTTTGGCGTACTCAAAAAAGACAATGGCCTCTAATAGACCTCTGAGTGTGTCGATGCCCTAAAAGAGCTAAAGGCATACCTATCATTACCCCTGCTGCTCTCTAAAGCAGAACGCGGAGAACGCCTTCTCGTCTACCTGGCCGTGTTCGATGTGGCGGTTAGTGTTGTCCTAGTCCGAGAAAACAAAGGTATACAATCTCCCATCTATTACATCAGCAAAACCTTAGTTGACGCCAGGACGAGGTACCCACACCTCGAAAAATTAGCGCGGGGTTTGGTCACAGCTTCACAAAAGCTTATACCCTACTTCAAGTGCCACCCTATCTCGGTAGTCATGACTTTTCCCCTGAGAAGTATTTTGCATAAGCACGAGCTATCGGGCAGATTGGCCAAATGGGCCATAGAATTAAGCGAACATGATATCACCTATCAACCGCGAATGGCGATAAAGTCGCAAGTGCTGCCGACTTTGTCATTGACTTCAGCACAAAAATGATGCCTGAAGTCGAAAGAGAAGCTGCCAACAACTCCCCTCAAATACAGGACCTATGGGTTTTATACACCGATGGCGCCTCTAAAGCGTCAGGGTCTGGACTTGGACTCGTACTCGAGGTCCCGACTGGCGAAGTTATTCTCCAGTCCATAAGATGCCCTGACATGACTAACAATGAGGCCGAGTATGAGGTCACGATTGAAGGATTAAGGCTAGCACTCAAGTACGAGCAACGCGAGTCTTCCTATGCTGCGACTCTTAACTCGTCGTCAACCAAGTCACAAGGACGTTCCAAATCAAAGAGGAAAGACTAAAAAAGTATCAGGCCGCGATCTGCAAGTTGCTGCCTGAATTTGATGAATGCCAACTCACCAGATCCCCCGACCACAAAATATCAAAGTCTGACAGCCTCGCCAAACTAGCGGCGATCACTAAAAGCATCATTGGTGTGAGGCAACTCCGAATTTTTTGCTCAAAACCTAGTATCTCCGCATTCCTATCGCATAGTGAAGCTGTTGTTTGGTTAAACTTGAGGTCAAGATGCGGTCCAAGATGCAACCGCATAATTGATATGCGGGCCGCATTTCTACCGCAGAGTGGAACAGAAGAGTTGTCAAAATTAATGTTGAAAATGCGGTCTATTATGCGATCGCATAACCAATATGCGGACCGCATAATCGTCGCATAAGTTCCTCAGGGATTTGTGAAGGTCAGTTCTGCGGTCCACAATGCGACAGCATAACAGCAATGTGGACCGCATTCCTGTCGCAGACCCAAACAGATTCATCAGAGTTTTGGGGGCAATTCTGCGGTCCAATCTCCGCACCGCATTTCTGTTCTGCGATCGCAGAATGCGACCGCAGATCTTGCTCGGGCTTCTATTTTCTAAATTTTATACCCGACCCTAAAAACACCCCCAGCCCCTCATTTTTAACGATCTTCTGCGCAAAATAAGAGAGAGGAAGAGAGGGTCTTGAGAGAGAAAGTCATCTTCTCCAAAATTTGATTCTTCAAAACCATCCGGGCCGGGGAATTTCAAGCTTATCTTCATCCCCCTTTTCTTACAGGTAATATCCCTAACCCTTTTCACTAAATTTTTGGTTTAAGCTAAGGGGGGGGGGAGTCTCATGCATTGGTCTTTGAAAATAGTGGTTGAACTCATACATGCATGTCATTCTATAACCTAAAACCTAGTGAGAGTAATTGGGTAGGAGTAAAAGATGGTGCAAAGATGGGTTGGTAACCTAAATAAGTTTGAGTAGAAATTGTGAAATTCTTTTCTAAGTCATACGCGTTAACTTGTGCACTAGATTGACGTTGCTAGACCATTTGGTGAATTGGAAATAGAAGTTAAAAAGGGAACTCGGCTCCAGGTATGTATGGCTAACTTTGAACTTGTAAAATCGCCTTGTTTGGGTGTTTGAGTGCTTGGTATGTGATTTCTACGTGATTTGTGTGTGAAATTCCTGTGATTGGTATGGTTGAGTGATTGTGGTTGTGCCTTCGCCATATTGATGCAATTAATCAGAAATAAACCAAATTTGCGATTGTGAATGTGCTATGTGGTAAGAACTGTGAAACAAGTAATGGAAGGAAATGGGAATTGATGTGCTCGAAATAACCTTGGTAGTAACATATGTGGTTTGTCGTGGGAAATTATCGTCGTGACCTATCAATGCATATGAGTAGTGGAATACATGGAAATGGTATTGATGACTATGGAAGTTCATGTAAATTGTTGTTGTTGTTCCTTGAGGGTAATTGTTGTTGTTTCTTGAGGATTGTTGTTGTTATTCTTTGTGAATTGTTGTTGTTGTTGTGTTGTTTGTGAATTGTGATTGTTCGGTGGGATCGGGTTGCGCGTCGGAAAATGAAGAAATAAGGTGTGGGTTGTGGTGAGAAGGGTGGCCGAGGTAATAAGGGTGGCCGAGGTAATAAGGTTGTAAAGCGATCGAAATCGCTATTGAAATGAACTATGAACAAATTGTGAAATTATTGATGTGGAAATGTGGAAGGGGAATCAGGAGAGATTGTAAACTTGTTGGTTTGATTGCTCTTTCTTTGTGGATTTGATTGTTGTTTCCATTACAATTACATGCTTGTTTGTGGAGGAGAGATTGTATACCTGTTGGCTTAATTGTTCCCTCCTTGTGGATTTGATTGTCGCTTTTATTACTGCTACTTACATGCTTATGGTTCGAGTTTACTTGGAGCAAAGTTTGTTCATACATACCAGTACAATTCAAATGTACTGACGTCCCTTTTGCCGGGGGCGCTACATTCGTGTTATGATTGTAGGTGGATCCGTAGCAGGTACTCCAGTCCACCGATCGTAGCTCCCCTTCGTCCTCCATCAGCTTTTTGGTGAGCCCCTTTCCTCTCGGGGCCCTGCGTGGCTCAGGCCGCTTGTTTTCGGAGTTTTATTTTTGATTTGTGTAAGGTATAGCCGGAGCCTTGTTACCGGCAAATACTATATTATCCTGTTGTACTATTAGAGGCTCCGTAGACAGTAGATGTGGGTTAGAAACTTGTGTAAATCCGTGTTTTCATACGTTGGTAACGAGTTGGTGATTTCACTACTATTATGTAAGTATGTATGTGTTTTGTAAATTAAAAAGTGTTCTTAATTAATTATTTGGCAAATCCTTGGAATAATTGAGTAAGGAAAACGTGGGGTAACATGTGGGTTAGGAAAGGCATCCAGGTTCGCTTGGCTGGGGCTACCCGGTCGGGCGCCGGTCATGTCCCTCGAATTTGGGGCGTGACAAACTTGGTATCAGAGCCTAAGGTTTTAAGGAGTCCTAGGATGTCTCGGAGCCGTGTCTAGTAGAGCCCTACTTATCGGTGTGAAGTCGACCACATCTATAAGTGGGGGGCTGCATGGACATTTAGGAAATTTCCCACTTCCTTGTTATTCTGTATCGTGCGGTGAAGTGAAATGTGAAAGTATCTATATCTAACTCGTGCGTTGTTCCGAACTTTTTCAGTAATGGCACCTAAGAAGAGAGCTAGACTCGGCCTTCGGGCCAATGCCACCCCGAGGGAGGCTATGAATCACGTACCTGATGCCGTGGGTGAGAGTGACTCCCCGGCCTTGA